TTACCTACTATTCAGAATCATTATATTCATGTTTGTTTTTTATTCTCTGTTGATTTCTATCTTCGTCCGCTTACTAAATTCTTTTCATTCCTGATATTTTTCTTTTCTTTAATTCTCCTATTAGCCCTCGATTGCAATCCTCCTGCTCCTTGGTGGGACGAATGTGCCGACAAATGTCTTCTTCTAGGCCTTTTCAAGCATGGCTGGGAGAAGTATGCTGCTGTACAGACCGATCCCTCCCTTTGCTTTGCTTCTCGCTTCGGTTTTCCACCAACTGTCACCGCCGAAGAAGCGCCTAAATTGGAGCAGGTAGCCGCAATTGATGATGTTGAGTGAGTTCTGAAGCCTTTATACATTTGTTTCTCACGATCAACTTTTATTATTTTTTTCGTTTTTTCAGGATTGTAGCTTAAGCAAATTTTTAAATCTCATAAATGCATTTTTATCAACTTTTATTTACGTCAATCTATCTTTTTAGATATAAATGAATTAGGATATGTAATTAGTATAATTGTGGTTCCCGTACCGTTTTACTTGATTTCGAGTATTTTGTTTCTTATGCTTCATTCCCTTTGCACGTGTGACATCTGGCAGCATCGACTGTCTAATCATACTGATAATAGTGTGCTTTATCTCAAAATTATCTTGTTTTTGGTTCGACAGCATTTTGTATAATGTCTTATTTTTTATAAGGATCAATTAGCCAGAGTACGCTTGCTCACCTACCGCTTATTACTTGCTTCTGCCTCATACAAATTTTTGCTTACCTTTTCAAACGTTTGTCTTGTGTATGGTTGCACTTTTGGGCACTCCTTTATTGCTGAATCATCATTAAGAATTTTGCACTCTTCTATTTTTCATGCATTTATTGTCTCGTCATTGAGCCTTAGATCTTGCCATGGGGGGACTTTGACCAAGGCTAAAGCATTCCCCATTTTTAAGACTATGCCAGTCTTTATTTGGCATACCTAGCCTCCTCGGGCGCTTATTAGCAGCTGATATCAACTTAAATATGTTAATAACGGGCTTTGATGTTTTTGATGGATACCCCTATTTTAATGTCATTGCATATATTTTCGGCGTTGATTTCCATGTAATCCATAAATAATATGCATATTAATTTCCTCTATTTTCTGAGTCATGAATTCTATTTCCCTATTTCGCCTCCTTTTTATCTCTATCAGGCCACCTCATTTGTCTCCAGTTACTGATCTCAAACATGAGGCTGGTCCCAGGGACTTAGAAATTTGTCGGTTGGCTACTTCTGAGGATTATGAAGAGCTCAAGGCCCCATCAACAGTAGCTGGGGACACAGAAACTGAGGCTGGTGCAGAAGACGAGGAAGAAGAGGATGAAGTGGAGGAGGAAGAGGCTGAGGAAGAAGAGAGGGAGGCAGTCAGTGAGGCCCATCCGAAAGGGAATTCCTCGTCAAATTCTACTAAGTATCTTTCTAAGGGCAATTCGAGGTTTGATCTCACAATTGTCGCAAAAGACTCTTTGGAACTTTCCAAGCCGAGCAAATGTTCATCTGTAGATATTGGTCTAAATGAACTCGCAAGTGAATCGGTGCCTTCTCCAATTTCACAAGTTCCTTGCAAGGATTCGCCGAAACTGTCTAGCACTGATACTGAGTTGGTTATAGGATCCCTATCCTATTCTGCTATTGGTTCTTCTGAAGCTGATATAACCGAGTTAAAACCTGCTCCCGTCGACACAAGCTCTTTTCCAATTCTCGATTCACAAACTTCTATAAGTAACTTGGAAACGGATTTACATCCGAATGTTAATGATGGCTTTGAAAAGACAACTGAACCTGTTGCCGAATCTGAAGAGACATCTCGTGTAAAAGAAGATAATGATCACCTAGATGCCTCCTCTACAATATCTACTACTACTGAAGCGGAAACTCCTGCCTCTACGACTGGAAAGCGACGTCGCACATCGACGGTTACTTGCGCCACAAATACGATTAGCGCTTCCACGTCCGCTGGTTCTTTTGAAGAATCTGGTCTGTTATCGTTTCCCCCTGCGGCCGACCTTAATTGTCGTCTTCGGAAGTTAATCGCTTACTTCCAGCGCATGCGCCATCAAGTGGAATATGATGCCCTTACTGTAAGATATTTGATTTTCAGTATTTGTTTGATCCATTGGTTATTCATTATCTTGTTGAGTAGGTGTAATTTACATACGTTGGACATAATCATTTGGAAACCACAATATTAATAGCTTTGTAAGGCATTTCTTGCGAACGATGATGCTCGGCTTTATTCAGCATTTGCTTAGCAGCAAATTTATCTACTAGATGAGAAATCAGGTGGATTTCTTCCAATAACCAGTCGTTCCAGCTTTTGAGCTCATGTCATCAGTCGTGGAAGTCGTTCAACCTGCCTTATCTTTATACCTTTATCTATCACATTTACCTCTATCGACATGCTATTCAGATAATGGCACCTCTTTCAGTTTATATATGGGAAGAAATATTTGCAATTTGGCATCATTAAAAACCTCTTTGTTTTTCCTCATTTAGTTTTTGGTTACTTGTCCTAATGGAAAATTTCTAGCTTCGAATATCTTTATCATATTACATTT